CCATGTGACTTAACCTGTAATTTAAGCACTAATATGGACTTATAAACATACTCCAGTATCAGGATTTATTTCTATAACATATCATTAAAACAGAGACTTAATTAAAACATTTAATTACAGTTCAAATTGCTAAAAATCCATTCATACTGAGATGCTGTAAGCACAGAAGCTGATAAATACAGAGGCTACAAACACAGACCCATCGGGGAAAGAGCTGGTTACCAGAATCTGACGATGTTTAGCCCCGACTGGCACTGACCGATGGCTAATTCGGTCATAAACTTAAAAAAATTCAATCTTTTTTGATTCTCAGTGAATGTACAAGCCTGGTCACTGCCCTCCTATGCAGTTCCACTCGATTCTCATCTCCCTTTAATGCTCTGTCTGGGATTTCTCCCATTGAAGTGAATTTCTCCGGTAGAATTTCAGCCAGGCCGATCAGCGAACGGAAGAAGTTGTGAACAACTAAGATGATTTTCTGCACTGTTTGGTAATTTTAGCAAAGGCCGCAGAGAAAGTGAACAAAGTCATCGAGTCTGTGTTGGTCACACTTCCAAATACTGAATTAGCATTAGAAGCCATCTCATTTGAATTGCCACTTCGCTGTTATTTACAGCGCAGGCAAGTCCCGGTAAGCTTCATGGCGTCAAACTGGAGAATTATATACGGCGCAACTAAACGTTAGCGATTTGGTAAAATTTAAAACTTCAACAGAGTCCACGTAATAGTTTCTCAATAGCCGAGGGTCCAGACCCTCTGCACAAAGCAAAGCGTATAACAAAGTGCTGGTTTTATCTGGCTATGAATGCGCCATCCCTTAGTCTTAGTAGGCTATGCCAACAACACCCTTCAGTGTGGAGTTACTGAAAGAAAATATTTTGAAGTTACCCATTTTCAGAATCAGTAAAGTGCTCTAAGAGTTAGCACAAAAGATACAGAGCTATTTGAAATGAAACTGTATTTCTACAGGCAAGGACCCCAGTCCTTCATGTGGCTAAAGAGTTAAATAAGATTTCATTTGTCACCACAAAGACTGAAACCAGTACCGCAAATTTGCTCTACTTCATCCTATTGATCTTTCACAGTGTGTGTGTCTTGGGACTTGCTAAAGCTAACAACGCTAATCATAACAAGTGCTCATCTAAGAAGTGAAAGATAGGTTAATGAGTCAACTCTGTCATCATTTTGCCCACAACATCTTTTAGTTGGTATCTGATGTGTCATAACAAAAAACCTCCAAGCGACAGATTCGCCGCTCTCAAAGTGACCAAGGCTCACTTTGCTTTGACTTTGCCGTTTCACCTCTGATCTGTAACTTTGCATTATAAAGGAAAACACTGGAGGACAATGAGTTGTGTCCAAGAAAAGATGATGCGGATCTCCTCATCTGTCCCTTCCCTCCCGACCATCTGCTGTGCTGACTGCTGTGCGTGCTGATGCTGGTGAAGGTAACAGTATCCACCCAGTGCAGTGGCTGAGAGAGTGACCCCTGTAGACTCACATGGGGTTTAAAGAAGGTAAACTCCTGGCGGTAGCAGAAATTAAGAAGGGCATTCTTGCTGAGAGGGGAGCGACGCACGATTCCTCAAAAACGGCCCTGTTCCGGTGTCGTTTTGGTCGTGTTCATCAGAATAAAACGAACGTTTTTAAAACTGTTCATTTTGCCTTGTGACAAAGTTTGCAAGAGGTATCAAGATTGCACAACGTGCATGATTTCCTTACACAAAGAGGTGATGCAGTTGATTGCACTCCACACCCTGATTCAGTGAAAGGAGGAAGGAAATCCTAGTCATGTCAGTGTGTACACAAAGGCAGGGTCATCTAAGGGCATATTGTGCTGTATTTGGTGGAAAATATGATCTGTATCGGAGAGGATTCATTTCATTCCAAAATAAGTAGAGCTGAATTAGTCATTTCAACCACTCTAGTATCTCTGCTTAAGGGCTTCTTCTGCTGCATCATAAGGTTGGTAAGAGTTGGAAAAAAAATAAAATAAGCATGGACGTTTTTTATATTCAAGCATCGCTACATTTGGTCACCATCCGTTGTTGCATGTGTGGAAAGTGTGTGAATGTTTTGTAATGTTTGACCAGTTTTTATAACAGTAGTTGGCTAAACACAAGCGCCATTTCTCCAAATCGGTTCCGTCATAAAACACGCAAAGCTTTCCCGTGAGAGTTTGAGACCATAAGAAGTCTTCTTTACCCCCGAGATGGGCTGTTTATTCCCCCAAAACAATTAACTAATTAATAATTTCCATTCAACACCAAACCCATTAGCAAGAGAAAAACTGTGTAAAAGGCTCCAGAGAAAACAACACATTTACAACTATTAAAAAAAAAAGAATGATTTTATGAGCTTTTATGAGATTTAGGATCACTCAGTTTAGTCCATTCATTAAAAATAAACATCAGCAGAACCCCTAAAACAGTGGAAGAAAATGCTGTTTTTATTTATTTATAAGCCAAAATTATGGGAGTGTTTTGGTATATTTATGAAGAAAAAAGTCTGATTTTTATAGTATTAGCTCATAGAAAGTTAAGAGTGATATTTGGACAAGTAATTGGTGCATCATTAGTATTTATATCAAAATCATGTCCACCTCTATTTTCCAACAGCCCAAAGAAAAACTGTCGCATAAAAAAAAAATTGAGATATGTAAACTAACATTGAATTAAATTTATTGACTTCTTTGAATTTGGCAACATGTTTGCTGGCTGAGAGATGACTTCTAATTGTTCCCTCAAGAGAAAGGGAAACTCATCGCAATGGAAAAGCTTCAGGTTATGGGAAAAGAGTCATGTTATGGATACTAAAGAAGCATCACCCATCGCTCTTGCCAAGATAAAAAAAGCTACAGTATCTGTAGCTACTTCAGTAGAAGTCCAGCTGACAAACTAATAGTTTATCTATTGTAGACCACTACTAAATTTAGAGGGTTTTTATCTTTACATTTTTGCTTAAGTCTTTGTATTAAAATAACAATAAATGCATATAGCATTAAAAAAACCTTTTTGAACAATAGGAAAATTCAACTTACTTAGGCACAGTTTGACTAATTAACCTATTCAGACAGTTCATCATGCAAAATAAGTACATTTGGGGGTTAGTTACACTTTAAATTTTAGCAGTAGATGGAGTGATTGTTGCTTTTCTGTTTTAAAATTTCTGTTTTGTTTTGTTTTTACCCAAGCTTATCATACTCTAATCATACCAACCTATTTCTCCATGAAACAAAGAATAGAGTAATAAGAAAAAGATTCAATATTCACCTAATCTATGCAATGCATACAACACACATATGCAAAATGTGGTATTTTGAAGCTTGTGACCTTAAGGGACCTTACAGGAACTGTCATCATTTAGCTTCTTTGTTTCTGTTCTTTTTCTTCATTTCATTTACTCAACCAGAAACATGGTCCATAATTCAATCCTGGAGAACTTTCCAAGCATGGGAAGATGCTCAACATCTCTGATTTGAGTAACCGTCTGTCTAATGACTAAGACTGCAGTCTTTGCTGTATCACGACCCGGACAGTGAGTCAGCACTCTGACCCTGCGTCTCTCCCCGCACTCTGCTACAGACAAAGATTTATCATACAATGCAGACAAACATTCATATTCCTGACACAAACAGAACTCCCTCTCCTCCTCCTCTTCTTCTTCGTCTTCTTCCGTCCCTACCTAACCTCTCCCTCACACCGACAAACACTGGCATCGCCGAGTCGTGACTGAGAGCGATGCTTTCCTCTTAATATGCACAGACAACTGAGGATCCCACTGGCACGCTGGGAGACAAAAAAAAGACCCCCCCCCCCGCCCAACCTCACCCCACTCTGCTTGCAGACTGCGTGCTTTATCTTTGTGTGTGTGTGTGTGTGTGTGTGTGTGTTTGCGTGTGTGCGCTTTAGTCACAGAACATTCACCCTGCGAATGCGCGGAGCAGCATCTTCTCCCGGCGCGCCTCCTACATTACCCAGAAACCTGTTGTCTGTTGTGTATCCATGTCACTTCCTGTTTGGCGGTTTTTTGTTGCACATTCCTAGACACCATCCCATGGTGAAGGGGAATGATGCTCATTGGCCTAAAAAACTGGAAATCCCCCTTTTTTTTTCCTCCCTCCAAACACACATTTATTCACATACCCTACATCTGCTTGCCTGGATGGATCTCTATCGGCATCAGACACACAAGCACACACATTTGGGGTTAATTACACCAAAAAAAAAAGACATTTCTAGTCACCGCCGCTGACCTCATGGAACTAATAACGTTTTCAGCCATTTCTGGATCGGTTCCACCTGTTGTGACTGTCTCCAGTCTGGGAACGTCTGAGAACAGGGAAGCACTAATTCTGCCACATGCTCTTTGACCGTTGCACTTTTTTCACTCATTTGGTTGTAAACAGGATGTGTTGTCACTACCCTTTCTACACTTTAACTGCTCCCTTGAACCCGTGTCATATGACCGTCAGTGACACTATTCAGGATATCCCCCCCCACACACACACACACACACACCCACACCCATGCACACACACACTTCTGAACTTAACATATTATGCTGTTTGGGAAAAAAAAACACTTCAGAAGGCAGAACTAACTAGATTTCACAGACATGAGCCGGCACACTGGCATGACACAACACTGCAACACCAGCAATGTCACCACAGGGATCCGTTAGATGTTACTACAGTAACTGCACGCTCACGCTTGTGCATGCCCCCAGCTTTTCCAGACATAATCTGACTGAATAAAACAGGGATTTAGCAGGCTAGCAGCCAGTCAGGCTTACGGTAAAGAGACACATGGCTAACGCAAACACACACACACACACCGGTGATCAGACATCCATGTGATCACTCACACTCAGTCGCGCGCACTGACATCCTCCCAGCCGGCACATGTGGACAGGCACGGCCAGGCCCCTCGGTCTAGACGAGGGGACGCAGACTAGAAGCGCTTCGGAGGGGAATGGGCGAAGGCTCTGGATGTACTCACCCCTTTTCTGGAGCCATCCCTCTCTAACGATGGTGACATCGCTCATGGTTCCTTCACGCCGAGTCTGATGCCGTTACACGCATGTTCCACACAGCCAGAGAGGGAGGGGAGGGGAGGAGAAGAGGAGAGGAGAGGAGGAAGCGAGGGAGAGGAGAGGAGGGGGAGGGGAGGGGGGAACGGCTCTCCCAGCCTCCGCGTCACTCTCCCTCCCTTTCTTCCTTTCCCGTTCACCCTCTATAACTCGCCCAGCCTCTCTCTCTCTCTCTCCCCCCCCCTCAGACGCAGACAAGCGCACGCTTGCGAAACAAGCGGTGTGTAGGTCTGAGTGCGCGCGTGTCGTTTTGCTTCCTGTCGTGGCTTATCTCCCTCTCTTCTTCGTCTTCTTCTTCGTCTTCCCCTCCTCCTCCACCTCCTCCTCTCACGTTCCCTCTCCAGACCTTCCTTCTTCACCAGTAGTGACTCAGCCTGAAAGGAAGTGAAAGGAGAGGGGAAAAAAAACATGATATAGAAAAAAAGAAGCATGGCTTTATTTTGCTTCTCTGCTTTCCCCCCCAAAAGCTCTTTCATAATGTCTGACAAGTCAAACAACTTGTTATTGAGAGGACGAAAGCTTCCTTTGCTTCCCCCCTGCCGCCCCACGATACACCCGGTTCCTCTTTCAATTGCAAACACTCCCTCTGATAAACAGGATGAAATATTGCAGAGCCCTTTCTGAAGCAAAAAAAAAAAAAACTGACCTTGATTGCCAAGTTGATATCTCTAAGCTCCACCTCTCATTCATTCAAGGTTTTTTTTTTCCCCCCCCCCCCCCCCAGCATTGAACAGACACTGAATACCAAAGCGAATCCACCGCTCTTGGTTTTTATGCAACTCTTTACATTGAAGAATGTGAATCAGTGTGTGGATCTGGTGATTGTCTTGTCTGTGTTTGAGGAGTGGGAGAGCATCTCAGGACTGTGGAGTAGAGAGCCCGGTTAAAAATAGCAACCACGGCAGTTAGGGATGCTCTCTCACACTCTTTCTCTCACGGCAAATCTCTGCACCTCTCTGCCGTCTCCCACCCCCGCCTCTCTCTCTCTCTCTGCATAGTGGCCGCGTTCACCTCAAATGCACCCTACTTCCATGGTACGACACAACGCGCAGCAGCAGTACAGCCCGAACGGGGAGCTGCGGTTTAGTGCGACCATCGGAGTCGTTTGAGGCTGAAAATCAGTATTCACATCAGCTTCTGTCTGCGCCGCCTGCCGCAGACATCTGGAGGGACTGCAGCGTCAGGGCGAAGGCTGGAACACACCCCACAGACGCGCACACACACCTCTGTACATCTCTGCCTCTTTTTTATTTTTATGTTGAGGTAGCAGAATCGTGACTGTGTGGAATCTAGGTGAACAAAAGCAGACTCGTCCAACACGCTTTGATGCTTTCATGACCAAATTTGCCACTAAACTGGATTTGAGCTAGGCTTTTTCACTAGTTAACATATGTTTATTGTTCATTTATTACAGTTAAATTAGATGCAGCTACTAGTAGACTGAGGAGAAGCTACTGCTGGACGATATGGTTGAAAATGGCGTCACGATATGACGGTTTCATATCAGTTGATATCAATAATAATTTTTTTAAATATAAGAAATACTGGCTAACTAGTGATGTGAATTTTCCTGTTTTATCGACAGCTTTCATTGTTTTTTATTTTTAAGCAGGTATGAGACAAGGTGAAACTGCTGCTGCCCAAGTTACTTAACAGGTTGTTGCTAGGTAACCAAAGAGCAGTGAGTTAGTTGATGCCACCCACTTGGCTGAGCTGGCTGAGAAGCTAAAACCTTTCCTCTGCCTACATCACCCAGAATGCTGTGTGGTTTTGGATCAGCGTTCAGTGAAAAATATTGGAAATTCTATCAGAGGTATTATTAATATTGATATTATTCATGTGTGTACTGTACAGCTATATATATTGTTATTGATTTGTTGTCCAACCCATTTTGTGTGATTTTTCTACCCCCCAAAAATTTGCACTTATAGTAGTAAAATACATAGTTCTTTGCCAACATGTTCACAGACCTAACACTTTTTCCACGTTTTGTCTATTTTACAAGCATAAACTTCAACGCGTTTTATTGGGAAAATGTGTGAAAGACCAACACAAAGCATCTAGAGACTGAAAGTTAATTATTCTTCTCTTGTAAACTGTGAACTCCTTGAACTACTTCTTTCAAGTTTTGCCACAGCTTCTCAATCACACATAAGCCCAGACTTGGACTGGCCCATTCTAACACATAGCACATTAATATGCTTTGATCAGCAGTTCTGGTTGTATGTTAAATATGTATGTTGTCCTGCAGGAAAGCGAAACTTCTCCTTGGTCTTTGACAGCATTGCACAGGTTTACCACCAGAACTGCCCTGTGTCTAGCTCCATCCATCTTTGTATTTTCCGTGTCCCTGATGAAGAAAATCTTCCACAGTTGCCGTGTTCCCTACTTGAATCCTGCCAAAGTGCAATCAGGACTTATTATGCTTTTCTTTTAATAACGTCTTTCTTCTGACCACTCTACAGCAAAAGCCAAATGTGTTAAGTCCACAACTAATATTTGTCCTTTCAACAACTTCTGCCACCCAAGGCTGTTGATCAATTTGGGTTTCTTGGCTGCTTCTCCAATTAATTGTCTTGTTAGTTTAAGTGGACAGCCATGTCTTGATACATCTGCACATGTGCTATGCTCTTTTCATTCAGACGATATATTGAACGGTTTCCCCATAAAGATTTGCTTTACGTCATAACCCTGCTTCCGACATCTCCGCAATCTCTGCCCCTGGCGTAAGTTTTCATCATGCTGCTTGTTTTCTTATGTTTCCTAACAACATAAGAAAACTCACTTGTGTAGAGCTGAGAAAAAAAGAACAGCTCTACACAAGTGAACTATTTTTAATTACAATTTCTATGGGCAAGTGGTTACCATGGGTTTTTACCTATAAATGTATATCGTGCTTTTCAGATTCTATTTGTAAAGTCTTTTTAAGAAACAAACATATTTTCCTTACAGCTCACCACTATGCACTACTTTGTGTTGCTCCATCATCTAATATCTCAATGACACAAACTGACATTTGTGGTTTTGTGACAAAATGTGAAAAGGTTTGAGGATAGTGAATACTTTAGAGGGACAACACATTGCATTAATTAAATAACTTAAATCTTATCATTAGTGCAAAAAAGAATGGAAAAAATAATCTTTTCACATCTGCAGTATTAAAGAAATGACTCTAGTCGCCCTAGTTCTACTCTAATAAAAGAAAAGGAAAAGACGACTAGGTTTCCAAAGAAAAGATGAAAGTATTAGTAGTTTCTCTAGGCTGTAATTCCATTGGAAATAAGCTTCAAGGGCGAACCCAATAGTGCAATCCTCTTGTCAGGTCAGAGGACCACTCTTTGCCTCATCTTACCTCAGAAAAACTTTCCTAAAACCAATCAGTGGCCTCATGCAAACTTTGGCACACGTGATCTGCAGCAGGGAATCCATGATCATCCTTCTGAAAGCCAATTTGGCAGGACCGCAAATGTTACAATGCACACACAAGGATGTGTGTTTCAGCCGCATATTTTGCATCGATCTAAAACGCGTGATGAAAGCGGCTCTAATTTGATCAACGCAGCTTCCTGGAGCAGGAACGAGTCCGTTTTCAAAGGCTTGTGAAAAGTTCATCTGCACTGCCCGCCCAGTTCGTGCTACCGCTGATAGAGGACACTTGACTTATTCACATGCTTTAATAACATGTGTATGAAAGATCTAGTAAGAAAAATCTAGATTTTTGTGCTTTTTGACCTATCACAAGAGGTAACAACCGGGCTGCATTAACGTGCGGATGTAACGGCGCATAAGCTCACGTGGAGGAACACGCCGTTCTGCACACCAGTGCAGTTTTCAGGTATCAGATTTTGTGACGATGCAAGGCTATTTTAAAATATGCTCCTGAAAACAGAACTATGGTGCTTCTGTTTGGGTGACGGAAACAACAGAACAACAAAAAGACACAACCAGACAACACGGAAACAGAGCCGAATCTGTGATCTTATACCCAGCTAAAAACGGGAGCGCTTTTTTAGGGAATGACATAAAAATGCAAGACTAACCACGATAAATTTGTCTTCCTGTTATGACAGAAAAAGTCATAATAACATCAAAAATCGACATAAGAGTTCTCAGTCTCTGCAGAGTGTTGCACTCTATGTTACACATAGATAAATAAGGCCAGCACCCCAGAGCTACAAACCTGACAATGAATAGTTAATTACTAGGGATGTATATTAATGGCATGGTATTGGTATCGGCTCATATTAGCTGTAAAATTTTATAATCGGACATTGGAAATTCCGTAAAAATAACTCACTGATATAAAAGGCATAGTTTTTATATGACAAACCAATGACAATAATGGCTGCAGCACACCACGACGTCAAATTTGCACTGTTTGATTGTTCTTATTGTCTTAGAGAGAGCAGATGTCATGAATAAATTTGATATTAAACATAATTCAAGTTGAAAGTGTTAGATCGTTTTCAGCCTCCTTTTTAGTATTTATTTATTTTTAGTATTTATTTATTTTTAGTATTTAGTTCACAGGCTAAATTGACAAAGATAATGCAGTATTTTAATTTCACAGTAGAGAAAGAAATATAGTTTCAGCAAGTAGGTATAGGGAAAAAAATATCGGTATTGCTATCGGTTACCAGCCAAATTAGTTTTAGTATATTTAGTATATTGGCTATATTGGATATCAACCAAAAATACAGTATTGTGCATCCCTATTAGTTAGCCCTAACATATTACTGAATGCCAACCTGAAAAGTAATTACGTTAAATTGTTGTGACGAGGGGAACAAGAATGACTGAGACAACACGACGTCAAAGCTGACACCAAAAAGCCAGGCCCTCACTCTGCAAATATCAGCCTCCTTACATGGAATCGTCCATCATAAAACAATCTTAAGATTTGGTCGCAAACTGCAGTTGGTGGACTGCTGTCGTCCAGCGACCAGAAACAAATTTATTTATCTCAAAAACAGAAACAACCTTTGTCAAATATCAAGCAGTGGCAGAAAATCCGATCGCTGTTTTGGCTCAAATCATATTATTGCCGTTCTGTTTGTGCCAACCTCGAGCACTTCCCCAGCCGTCTCCTTTTCCTCATCATTTTCTCCCTCTTTTCACAGTTTGACTCCAACAGCAGGACCGTAACTTGTTGTCCAACCATTGTTGGACTGACTTCTCTGTTTAATTATTCTGATAGGAGTAGCTGTCAAGATTGTATCACCACTGAGTTCGCATACGAAGGCACGTTCAAGTTCTCTACTAGTTTTGAAAAATCACATAATGTGCGCAGAAAAGGCTATGGTGCTGTCAACACCATGCGTCACTTTGTGGATGTTGCATTCAGGGTGATGTGGTTTGTTTATTTCAGCACAGCATTAAGCTCAAATAGTTCAACTTTTGTGTTATGTGGATGACTAACAGATACAATGTGGACAGATTCACTTAGCTTAGATTTTATGCAAGAGACAATATATTAATACCCATATCTTGTTGTCCAATCACTGTTAGAAAGATTGTCTCTGTCTGACCTGTGCAGCACCATAATCAAGGAAACTGGCATCTCCAATTGCAGTGAGGAGACATTCTGAGTGATTTATTAGTGTTAAATATGTCAGTAGCTAAATTATCGGGCTTGCAGTTTGCACATCATTGTGCATTATGAAATATGCACATAAACATGTAGCTTAGACAACAACGGCCCAAAAGCAAAAGGTCAGGTGCATCAAACATAATAGTGCAACAACCTGTTGTTGGTGGAAGCATCTTTTTTTCATTTATTTCAAATAAAAAGTTGATTGCTGTTATTGTATTTTGTGGTGGCGAAGCTTTTTGATATGTAGACATGATTCTGAAAAGTTCTAACCACCCTACAAAACAATATGCAACCAAAGCACCACACAGCTAGCATCAATTATGTTCTCCTCTTGGAAAGATTTGATGTAAACATTCACTTCTTTCTACAACAAACGGCTAATCGCTTGAACATATTTCCTCCAGGAGTTTTGAAGGGGTGGCAGCACTTGCCTACACATTACAAATAATTAATAACATAAGACTAAATGAAAAAATGTAGACAGACAGACCGATAAAATGATAGATATTTATCTTCTGAACTGAAATATAAAACTCAAACCGTTTGTGGCGTTTTCATAAGTAAAACTTAGAAACGCAGACCTCTAAAGCATCATTCATAGTGGTCTGTCAACTCGGAGCCGCCCCCGCATGTTATCCTGACATAAACACGCCATTTAATTCGCTGACTTAATCGCTGTCCGTGTCATGTTTACCGTCACAACAGTGTCCGGCTAGCAGCGGTGTATTACCTGCAGCAGCGACAGGTGCTGGGGCAGTATGTCCCCCTCCCTCACTGCACCTGCTCTTCACACACCGCTCCTATTCCTGCCTTTAACTCCGGTCTGAGTGAAGCTATGCGGGGCTGCGAGCTAAGCTAAACGGCGGTCTCCGTCAGAGTCATCAAACGGATTTCCGACATGCTGCGGGGGAAGCTACCGTTACCGCGGCCAACGGCTGTTTTGATTCTCAGGAAAGCCAGAAACGTCACTCAGGGAAGCGGCACCCCCTATCTGTCATGAACCCACCCACTACCTCCACATGAACACACACACACAACAAATTCAGACACGAACACATCCCAACCGTCTGGCACAGACCTTCCGCTTTCGGTGATGAGGGATTCTACTCGACGTCTGATTATCCACCACTGAGCGATTCTCTCATCATCCCTCTTCAACATCCTGCGGGGATCCTCTGGTTCACAAGCCAACTATCGCGAGAACTCGAAGTTAAGGCCGTGTACGTGCGAGAAGAAATATGTGGCCCTGTCCTAGTTTGAACATTTACAGAAATATACGTATGAAGTCGTTTTTATAGGTGGGGGAACGTATTAAAGATTAACATTAAAAATAATTTCAAGCTCATTGCGTGTTTCATCATTAAAAAATAGATGTGTATCCAAAGAGTAAGGTTTAACTCTTGGTTTCTTTTTAATACCAAGATATCCTGTCACAAACTATTAGTAATAATAATTTTTAATAAAACACAAAAAATGCGAAACAAATAAAAATATTTAATTTTTTTTGCTCTTGTATAATGTCAAATATTTGAATTAATCCCATGCATTTATCTTTGTGGAGCAGCAGAAATGTCAATTGTGTATAATTTTCTTACCATTCTTAATATAATGAAAACTCCAACATTTTTTATAATAATAATACAAATATAAACGTGGAAAAATCCTGATCATCTCATAATCACGTTTGATAAATTTAAATATTATTGAAAAAATAATTTATTTCAGTCACTCAAATCACAGAATTGAATCAGATAGATTAATTACTCACAAAACCATTTTTAAGCCTTTATTTCTGTGAAGTTTATTGATTGTCTGATTACATTGTAATGAAAAGCCTACATTGTTGCTAAGTATATTACATCAGACCATTTTAAAAAACACATTTAGCATAAATGCATTTCTTTTATATGCATTTCAGAATGCATATTTTATTAATGTGACTGTATTATATTGATGTTTAAGACATCATTCAGCGACCACAGTTTTAGGTAGAATTAGCAGTTTATCAAAGTTAAAAATTAAAGTTTTTAAGTAGTATACCAACTGATAACACTAGATGGATCATTTTTTTCACATGCTGTTCAATATGCCCTTCATGGTTTGTATGTATGTTTTGTAAATATCCAGTTTTGGTTTAGTGTTGCAATGTTTTAATTTGACCTAAAATGGAAACTAGTTTTCAGTTCCTATATATTTCTTCTTTTTTGTCAAACCTAAACACTTCTGATTATCAGAAAAAGTAATTGTTAGACAATAACTTAAATATATACAACGTGAAGTTTTTAAATTTAGATTTTTTTTTCTGGTGGCCCACCAGTTCATGTAATATTTTCCCAAAACTTTTAGCAATCATCAAGGTGTATCAGCTCTTGGTGTGACTTTCTGGAATCTCCAAGCATTGAAAATGTTGTAATTGACAACAACATCAAGTAATAGATGTCAATAATTTTATCTTTAATCTGTTTTTAAATTTCTTCAGCTCAGGGCATGATGTGTTGCTTTTTAAGACTTTTCATCTTACTTCATAATGCCAGACTGGTTCCATTTATATGGTCAGGCTGTAATCAGCTAAATTAAACAATATAAAAAGGACGACAGCATTATGTATTTGGTCAGGATTTCTTTGTCTCAGAATAAAACTTGTTTGACCGACTGAAACATATGAGTGGGACAAAATGAAGCAAAAATCAGAGGGATTCTGTAATGAAGCAAATTTTCCTACAGCAGGGTAAGAAAATGACCGGGTCAAACCCATAAACAAAGTTGTTAGAGAATCAAATTTCATATCTGATCATCAGGAAGTTGTTTTTCCTGAAACAACAAGTAGCGTGAAAATATGTTATTTTTAGTAGTCAATATCAAAGGTGTGTTTTGACAGGTAATTATGCAGAATTTAAGAGGAACTATAGCCCAGTTGAAAAAATTACCTTGTTTTGAATTAAAGCAGCAGTGGGATTTTTCTTTTCATCACACAGGGAAATAACAGATTCCGTAACACACCACTAAATTAAGGAAACAAACGACACAGCATGAACAAGAGATTTTTATCCTCGAAGCAGAAGACATACTTCAAAAGTTGCCTGCTGAATGTTGGTTCCCTTTTCAGACAAAAAATACATAAAATCTCATTAATCTGTTGCAGAAAAGTCAAAAGGATGACTCTGTTGATTCCTTTCCAGGTCAATATTATTTACTCAGATATGATGATGCAAAATAAAAGAGTCACTGTGTTCACAGGTAATATTTACAATTCATGCAGGATTGAAGAGTAGGGGTGCGGCGGTGGCACAGGGGTAAAGCGCAGAACCCATATGGAGGTGTTGGTTCTGTTTTACTGCCAGTAAATGCAATTATAATTACAACCATGGCCACAATTTGTGTTCTTTATTTAAATGAACATAGGGAGAATGCAGCATTGACTAAACTGAAGAATTAAAAAATAAAATAAAATAATGATAAAGTAAAAATGAATAATATTTTGCGCCTGGTAATTTTTAAAACAACTTTTTGTTTAATATCTGAGCCTGAAAGTAACAAATGAGGGTGGAAGCTAAAAATTGTTGTCGAAACAATGAAAAACAAAACTTTGGTCAACACAGCAAATGAGAAATGAAATTAACTGTTGAGTATTGTCTTTGGTTCCCATTAATGTGGGTGTTGGAGTTCAGATACGCTCACTTTGAGGATGATGCTTTACAATTAAACAAATCTTAGAAACTTATTGATTTGTCAAATGCTGTTTTATGAATCTTTAAAATGTTTTTATTTTTATTCAGGGTGATATTTATTTATGCGAGACATGGCGGGAAGAGGAGATGCACCACAAGTGATCAAAACATAAAACATTTGCAGTCAGAGTAACAACCTAAAACAGTGAGATAGTGTTAAAATGAATAAATCAGCATTACTTAAACCATTGTAATAGCTTAGACACTTTGCGGCATTTATGCTAAATAAGGACTCCAATATGTTACCTACTTCAGATGAGATATTGGCCACTTATTACTCTTCATCAAAACCTTACTAAATAATTAAATAAATAATCCAGAGCTTTCTGTGTCAGGTATTAGACTACAGTCTTAAAACTAAGATCAGAGTTGGAAACATTAAATTAAAATGTTGCAACAGACTTGTTAAAAATATAGTTGTGCATAAAAATAGCCAAGGAATCTCACAAAGTTGGAAAGCATTTTCCATAAAACAACATTAAAGAAGAAGAAAATACGCACTGATCATAAAATCTGCTCTAGATTAAGCACCAGGTGTCTGTTTTTATTATAGTTACTGTAGAGACATATGAAAGACAAATTAATATGTTTATGGGGATGTTGTTTCAGCTTTGTATTCTCACACACACATTCCACTTTATTATAACATGTTTAAAAATGAGACAGCTGCATGGCGCAGGTCTCCACACAACAGCTGATCAGCTGAAAGCAAACCAAATGTTTTGTGCCCATTTAAGGCTCAGGTTGTTTATAAGCTGCATTTCTTGAATTCTTGTCCAGTGCAACTCTTTCCAATGTGGTCAGCTGTCCTGCTGTGGTCCTCTAGGACTCCTCCAGGCAACAGTCAGCATGGGTACAGAGAGAACGAAAGAAAGAACTACAGGAAACCGAACAAATATTATTAGAATTTTATCATTGAAAATAGTTTGCATGAGGAAATACAGGGAAAGATTGAAGTTTCTTGACATCATGGCACAACAACGCCCCCATTCACTTGATTTCTCCTGCCCATGGACTGGGCAGCTGGGCAGCAGAGGCAGAGCATGCAGTTATGGGGCAACGCACATAGAGGGGACACAGGTGGACCTAACGTCACACACCATATGTGCGTACCACGTTCTGGCCTCTCTTAACACAGACACACACGCACACACTCACGTTGGGCCATCAGCTGGCTTTTTGCTCGCAACTCTGTGCAAAAGGGAGGCGGATGGGCAGAAACCAGCAGCAGGGAAAGGTGTGTGTGTGCATGTGTGTGTATGTGTGTGTGTGTGCATTTGTGTGTATGCCCTTGTTTATATTACATATGTTTTGCAGTTGTACTGCGCTTTGCTGGTTAGATTTAGAGGTATTATGTGAATTAAATGTTGGATAATAGGGGTGAGGCAAAATGTATGGGTGGAAGTCAGTGCAATGTCCTCAGTTTATATATAAGTACAAGGATGTGTGCCTGTGTATGTGTTGTGGAGAGGAGGCAGTGGAAGTAAAAGTGAAAAGACAGCTTGAAACGCAAAAAGGCCACACATGGGATCCCTTCTGTTGCTGTAGCTGTGGCCAGACGTGTCCCTGTTACACACTTACACATGAAAAAGATGTCAAAAGTTAGTGTAAATATGCATTAAATACCAAATTTGATCTACAGACTTTATAGAGATACTGCCATGAAAAAGTGTTTCTGCCACTTGAATTTGTAGTTTTGTACATTTTGAGATTTTATGTCATAGACCAAAAAAGTATCACCTAACTGTAAACTTGAAAGAAAAATCTGAAAAATGTGACATACACTGAAAATAAAAAAATGCTTTCAGAAATCACCTAACCTGCAGTGAAATAAACCTCCAGTGAGGTTTGTGGTAGCAACATGACAATATGTGAAAAAAGGTCAAGGAGTATGTACACTTTCTCAAGACACAGTATACAAAGCGAGGTAAAAAAAAACAACAAAAAAAAAAACGCATCATTTCACACCCTTCCCAATATTGTAAATGTAGGGACTGTGGATTGTGAGCAGCACTCTGGACTGTAGCTGTATCGGTTCTGGCCTCCCTCGAGTCATCATTACAAACACTCCTCGCAGTGGAAGAGTGAATCTGTCCAGTCAATTACATCAACTGTAGAGCGACACATGAAGGTTGGATCCTCTTGGCACGTTTTGCTCAACAGTGCGTGATCTTACAATGTAAGAGCAACACATGGTGAATGTTTGTGAACTTCATGCCTTTTTTTTTTGCATCTC